ATAATAAGGAGATAGGTTCTGTAGCCAGGACTTCCTGCATCAGGTAAGGTTTCAATTGGCATACCAACTGAAGTTGGACAAAGGCCCCTCCTGCCACGGCTTCCACCTGCTATTCAAGTAGGAGCCTTGAATCAAAGGCCCACAACCCCCCAGTCATAAATTTGTTCTTTCACATCTAGTGCTTGCTGGTCCAGAGGTAACAGTGTTGCCAGTGGAGAATCCTGAAGTATAAACAGCAACCCCATCTTGCTTAAAATAAACTTCAGCTTCTTCTTTCTTGTCCCGATCCTTAGATCAGTCACCAGGTCCTGGATTAGATCACGGACAGCAACTCCCTACATCCAGGAGTAGTGATGTATAATTGGGTATCATCAGCAAACCTTTGATACTTCACCCCAAACTGTCACATGATCTCCCCATGGCCGGGAAGCTGATAGAAGGAAACCTCCTTGCCTACCACCACCTTGGAAATAGAAGAATCACAAATAAAATACAGAAGATCAAGGAGATTATGTTTGACAGAAAAAATGGAGTGGATGATTGGGAGCTATATATAACTGGCAAAAAAAATATAGAGCATATAAATGAATTTGTGTACCTTGGTAGAATGTTAAATAAAGATGTGAACATGAATGAACGAAATTTAAGAGCTCAAATAGTGGTAAAACTGTATATAGCCTGTGATCTATTGTGAGGAATAAAAGTTTGTCAAAAAGCCAATATTGTTGGGTATAAGAGTGTACTTCTGCAGCCTTAATTATATAGAAGTGAATGTTACGCATGTCAGAAGAAACATAAAAGGAAGCTGAATGCAGGGTAAGTAGTTTACTTAAGAAGTGGGTGATGAGAGAAGTGGAGATTGAATCTATGAGTGATAAATGAACGTGGACTACAAACAAAAATGAGTGGTCAATGAGAAAGAAGTATCCTGAAGTAGTTTGGTCAATTAGGCTAAAATTGCAAAGCAAATACGTGAAGCAAGAATGGATGGCTGGATGGAAGGGAAAGACCAAGAAAGACATAAGAAGTGGGGGAAGAAGAGAGAGAAAAAGAAGCCTGAAAAACAAGTGGCATCATATGTTTGCAAGAAAAGAATGGTATGGAGAGACATTGTAGCAAGTGATATAGATTTAAACAAGATTTAGTTAATTTCCATTTCTTTTCTCTTGATTTTGTCCCTTTAATTTCTTTTCACTGGTATTTCAACCTCTATAATTTGCATCATACTAGAAATCATGAATCACTATTTCCTCCAAAGATAAGAACAGCATTAAGTAAAAAATGAAGAAGGCGAATTTCAGTGATTTTCAGAAGATGAATACAATTGCACTCAAATGAATTCTTCTAATACGTCAAAATTACCTTAATGGAACAAGAACAGTTAAGAAACAACTGCCACTTGCTATATCAAATTTGGAAGGTTTCTTGTGCAGGGGTTAGAATGCAGTATCATAGGCAAACCTCTGCCCACTGCCAGGGGTTCGATTCTGACTGGCTCAAGGTTGACTCAGACTTTCAGCCTTCCAAATTGAGGACCCAGATTATTGGGGGCAATATGCTGACTCTGTAAACTACTTGGAAAGGGCTGTAAAGCATTATGAGAGGTCTATAAGTCTAAGTGCTATTGCTATTACTCTGTAATCCTTCAGGTTTATGGTCAACAATTCAATGAATGTACATGAAATAAGAAGAATCTTTGCTGGAACTATGGAAATTTAGTCCTGATTGAACAAAAAGGACCTAGAGTTGACATTTTCTACAAGCAAAGAAACTCTTGTATCAGTTATAGACCCAGATGTTTATTGTCTATAGGGAAAATAATCTCTTTGGCAGATGTAAGCCATATATTCCTATGCTTGAATTTTATCACATTTTTGATCACGCACATGTAAATCTTATACAAGTAGTCTTTAGCTTAGAATGGCAATTGGAACAGGAATTACCATCACTTAGCAATGTGGTAATAAAGCACAGTGCCACATGGCCAAATTGCTTAGCAACAGCAGTTCCAGTAGTCCCAGTTGCCATTGTTAAACAAGGATTGCATGGGTTGTTAAGTGAGAAGCTCACATAATTGCAACTTCTAACTTTCTGCTGGCTTCTCCATTGATTTTGCTTGTGGGAAGCTGGCAGGGAGCATTGGAAATCACAATCACAAACTTCAGAGAACTGCAATAACCAGAACTCTGGGAACCAGTTGTAAGTCCCCTTTTCCAGCGCCACTGTAACTTTGAATAGTCACAGAACAAATGGATGCAACCCAGGAAGCGGTGGGATTCAGCCAACTCGCACCAGTTCGGCAGAACCGGTAGCTAATTTTTTGTTGCCCACGCCCACAATGGACTTCTGGAAGCGGCATCCACACAAAGAACCAGTTGTTAACATTTTTGAATCCCACCACTGAACCCAGGGTTTACCTGTATTTAAAATGGAGGAACAGAATGATAGTCAAAATATTCCCTATTCAGTAGGAAAGAAACAAGAACTGCGAGCAAGAGATAGGAATTTTTTTAGCTATTTGAATTTCATACAAGGAACAAGGAATGTAACAGTAAAGGATACCATGTCTTTTATATGCAAAATGGATTTCAAATGCCCAATATTTTAGAATGTGTTTTGTTGCCAAACAAAAACAAACATCAAGCTGCATACTGTTTTGCATGCTGCACCAAACATGGAAGGAGAAAGATTATTTTCATCTGGCAAAGCCGGTCTAGTTTTGCTTATTAACTAAGAATTAATTTAAAGAATTCATTCATTTTGTTGCATCAAATCAGAGAAGAGCCAACTTTGTTTGATGGTGGTGTAGTTAAGTACAAAAGTTTATTTCTGAATGGTGCAAATATACTGTGTGCCAGCCCAAAGCAGCTTCTGAAAACTTGATATGTTAGCCACAACAATGAAGAACTAAATTGCAGTGCTTATTCCTTTAAAACATGAAAAAATGACCACAGAATATACCAGTAAAAATATACATTAGTATGTCAGATAAAGTTTCATTTCTACCAGAAATCTCTTATTATGTTGCTCTCATCTGTGGTTTATTACTATGCTCCAATTTTGAAGACATAAAATTAATTTAAATAAGATAGACTTATTTACATAGATAAGAAATATTCACTAAAATATTAGTCTATTAGTTTAAAACTGTTCAATGTAGCAGGGAAGGAAAGGTCTGTGGCTACAGAGCATCATGCACACAAATGTCACAATCTTAAAGTTAATGACACAAGAATCTCTGGGAGTGCTATATGTAGTAAGACAGCATTAGTTTTGAAAGAGTAAATATTTTCTCCCTTTGGACCAGAGTACAGAACTCTGATACAGAGAAAATAATGAATTTTGATAGAAAAGAGCAACAGGTAAGCAAAAATTAGGTAATTTTAAAAAGTACTAATGTAACATAGCTCCAATTTTTCTTGTTAACGTGGAAAAATGCAATTACTAAGCAAATAAATAGTGTAAAATTTACTACCATACATACACCAATATAAAATTCTTCCCTTTGAAGCAAAATTTCAGATTTAATTTCCAAAAGTGTTTGGGGCAGAAATGTAGCACCTCTGCAACATCTTAAAGCAACTATACTTTCTCTTAAGACTGTGGAGTTACCCCCATAGCTACCACACAGTTTAGGGGAAAAAAACACCAATATTTTTAGTGTCCTAAAGAGACAATATTCACACTCTCACAAACTCCAAAGCATCTTTTGGAAATTAAGTCTGAAGTGTAGCACCATACTCCAGAAGATCAGATATAGTTTTTTTTTTTTTTAACAATCACTCATTCAGTGAGCGTTCGAAGTTATATGGTGCTGAACAAGGGGACTTACAACTGTTCTTTGTAGCTGTAGCTGGAAATTAGCCCACAATTACAATAGTCACAGAAACTTGTAGCCATGTGATCGCCATTTGCAATCTTTACTAATGGTTTCCAATAAGCAGAGTTAATGGGGAAACCGGCAGGAAGTTGCAAATGGTGCTGTTGCCCCTAACAATTCTGCAGGATTTGCTTAATGATGGCTGCCAGAAATGCCATAACTGCTCTTGTAACTCAGTTGCCATCATGTGACATTGTGCTTTATGCCAATGTCCCAATTACTGTCCTTCAGTGAGAATGACCTGTACAAATAGTCATAAAGAAGCCAATTTATCAAATTCAAGCAAGTTGTACAATCAACACATCTGATTGGAAGGGGAGCAGGAAGGAAGACTTGGTTTCAAAACACGAAGCAAAGAAAATTCAGAAAAGTTGAGAAATTGAACTTTAAATCAACCAAGCATATGTGATTTGCATAAAATATATAGACAAACTCTACTCTAGATATAACGCTTATGTTAAATATAAAGTTATAATTGAATGAGCAAAGGAAAATTGTAAGGTTCTTTCATTTACATACTACAAATAACTCATAACCGTTTGTTACTTCTGCACATGCTTATGTTTCCAGATAAGCATCATATATTATACAATCACAAAATACAACATAGTATACAATTATCTACCGAGTTCCAAGTCAGCTGAGTTTAAGCATTATCATTAATCATTTTCTTTAACCAATGTTTAACTAACAGAAATCTTAAAAGTCTTGTTAAAGACGCTTGTTTAATGAACACAAAAATTTCCCCTTTCTTGCTTTAACCAACTAAGTAAAATTACAAGCTACACAACCTATTTATTGTAAGAAATTTAAAGACACCATTCAAGGAGCTTCACAATTAGATTTCACATGTACAGCTTAAGTTCATTTCTGATAGCAATTTTCTTTGTTATTCTGCAATTGGCTTAATAAATGTAAACATTTTATAATACATCTTGAAAAATATTGGTGGTTTCAGTCAGAAAACCAAGTAATTTCCCAATTTCCACTTGGAATAGTTTAATTTATATTTTGAAGTTTTATAGTGAACTACACTACCACATTTTCCTAGCATTCTACATGGCTGAAAGCCATTACTAAAACAAATATTTGTCAAACCTGGAAAATGGGATTAACATACCTGTAGTTAAAGGAAGATGAACGACAGTTTTTAAACATGTTAAAGTATACCAAAAAGATGACAGAGTTGCTCCTGACAGTAACAGAAGTAGGATAGGTTTCAGCATTCCTCTGATAAAATCAGCAAACCTGTAACATAAACCATAGTTTTAAAATCATTCATACAAACTGTGATAAAAAAGTATACTTTAGCTAAAGTGCTCTGTAGAATTATTAAAACAGTGTTTTCTGATATAATAGTTCAGGACGAACTGTATAGTTCCTGCTGTCTTAGGAAAGCTCAAAATATTCTTAAAGACTCATCTCATTCCGGACATTCTTTTTTTGAACTATTATCATCTGGCAGATGGTACAGGATAATAAAAACAAAGACAAATAGGCTGAAAAATAGTTTTTATCCCAGAGCTGTAACCATATTAAATACTACTATATAGTGCAACACTGAAGTGCAATACAAGCGTGGCGCAATGGTGAACAGAATGTGAAGGATGTGTGTATATAATGTATGTTCTTATTTGTGGTTTTTACTTCTGTGTAGTGTGCACTGTGGACAGCATTTAATTTCACTGTGAGTTACACAATGACAATAAATATATTCTATTCTATTCTATTCTTCTAGAAAGATATCAATAGACACAAAGATGCATTACAATGTATGTGATAATTTTGAATTTCTAAGATGAGTCAGGTATGGAGTTAAGTCTATAATTCTTTTTTATTTTTATTTTATTCTTGTGTGAGAAAAAAATACCTTGGGATGTTAAACAATTTGCTGAATAATGGAAATTATTCCCCTCCAATTAATGGAGCATTGTAAATGGCTTCATACTATTTTTCTCAGTTCAACATCATCTTGAGTTGACGTTTCTCATATTATTTCTGCAAAATTCAATGGGCTGAGCTGGATATAAAGTTTGATCTCAAAAGTATTGTCCTATTCATTTCAACTTTTTCACCGATTTTTGTAGAAACTTGGTTTATTTCAGCCATTTATCCTGGATTACTCTAATGCAGGCATGTCAAACTCATGACGTCATGTGACGTTGTGCGATGTATCATGACTTTTTCCTCATTGCTGGCAATGGGATGGGCGCAGTTTCGGCATGACGCATCTGGCCCGCAGGCCAGCAGTTTGACATGCCTGCCCTAATGGGCTGATGAAGAATGACCACTGAATTAAAACTGCATCAAAAAGAGATAGTCGATTTAAAATTTATTGGAATAACATGCAAACTGGTGATACATCAGTGAAAAACAGTGAGAACAAAATATAAAATTAATTAAATGAATGAATCACATTATAGTGAAATGCTTAATGAATCATAACAGAATAAAATTATTAATTAAATAAACAACTGAAACAAAATTTCCTAAACCAGTTATGGAATAATAAATGGTGAATCAGTAAGTACTGAAGGAATAATGAATACTAATATAAATCAGAAAAAAGCATATTAAAATTAAACTTTGGCTACTCCATTTTTTAAAATCAGAATGACTTGTCTTTCCATCTTATTGTGAGACCTTAAAGACTAGGGTTAAAAGAATTCAGTATCATATTTGGTGGCATCAAAAACAAATAGTTGCCTTCTCTTTAACATTAGCATTTTTATAGACAATAATATCTTTTAATGAAAAAGACATCTCACTAAGTTTTTGATGACACTTCTGAATCTCATTTATTATTTTTGCCTAACATATATATTTAGAATAGAACAAAACAGAACAGAGCTGAAAGGGACCTTCGAGGTCTTCTAGTCCAGCCCTCTGCTCAAGCGGGAGAACCTATACCATGTCAGACAAATGACTCTCTAGTTTCTTCTTAAAAATCTCCAGTGATGGAGCACCCACGATTTCTGGAGGCAAGCTGATCCACTGGTTAATTGTCCTCACTGTCAGGTAGTTTCTCCTTAATTCCAGGTTGCTGCTCTCTTTGATCAGTTTCCAACCATTGTTTCTTATCCTTCCCTCTGGTGCTTTGGTGAATAATGTGACCCCCTCTTCTTTGTGGCAGCCCTTCAAATACTGGAATACTGCTATCATGTCACCCCTATTTCTTCTTTTCTTTAGACTAGCCAAACCCAAGTCACGCAGCTGTTCTTTGTATGTTTCAGTCTCCAGGCCTTTGATCATCTTAGTTGCTCTTCTCTGATTTTTTTCCAAACTCTCAACATCTTTTTTGTGATATGGTGACTAAAATTGGCTGCAGTATTCCAGGTGTGGTCTTACTAGGGTTTTATAAAGCGGTACTAATACTTTGTGTGATCTTGATTCTAAGCCTTGTTTTGTACATCCCAGGATTGTATTAGCTTTTTTGGTTGCTGCTGCACACTTCTGGCCCATAGTCAAGTGATTGTCGACTAGGACTCCAAGGTCCCTCTCACAATTACTGTTTTTGAGCCAGGTCTTGCCTAATCTATATTTGTACCTTTGATTTTTCCTGCCTAAATGTAAAATTTTGCTTTAGGGCCTATTGTTCAAGTTTGTCAAGATCTTTTGGGATCCTGAGTTTGTCTTCTAGGATGTTGGCTACTCCTGTCAATTTGGTGTCATTTGCAAATTTGATGAGTTCCCCTTCAATTCCCTCATCTAAGTCATTTATGAAGATATTGAAAGTACTGGGCTTAAGATGGAACCTTGTGATACTCCACTGCTTACGTCTCCATGTGGATATGGTGCCCTTGAGGACTACTCATTGAGTATATGGTTTGCCAGCCAGCTACAGATCCATCTGGTGGTGATGTTGTCTATTTCACTTTCTTCTAGCTTATCAAGGAGTAGGTTGTGGTCTACTTTATCAAATGCCTTACTGAAATCTAAGTATACTATGTCCACAGCATTTCGCTGGTCTATTAGTTTACTCAGTTTATTGAAGAATGAAATAAGATTGGTTTGGCAAGATCCGTTTTTAACAAACCCGTGCTGGCTACTAGTTATAACTTTGCTTGCTTCTAGTTGTTCACAGATCTATTTTTTGATTATCTTTTCTAGGATCTTCCCAGGTATTGAGGTTAAACTGATTGGTCTGTGGTTTCCTAGGTCCATTATTTTCCCCTTTCTTGAAGATGGAAACCACATCAGCCCTTTTCCAATCCTCAGATACTTCCCCGGTGCTCCAGGATTTATGAAAGATGTGGTGTAATGGTTCTGAGATAACATCTGCCAGCACCTTCAGAACTCTGAGATGTAATCTGTTGGGTTTCAGTGATTTATACTCGCCAAGGTCGGATAGGTGTTCTCTTACCATTTTCTTGCTTATTTTAATTTTTGTTTCTAGTTTGTCTAGTTTGCAGTAGGTTTTTTTGGGTATGTTGGGCTATAGTTTCTTTTTGTTTGAAGACTGATGTAAAGTATTAGTTAAGCAACTCTGCTTTCTCCCTGTTGCCTATTATTTCATTGCCATCTTCTCTCTTTAGTGGGCCTACAGTTTCCTTGATGTTTCTCTTGTTGTTAGTATGTTGGAAGAAACTTTTTTTTATTATCCTTGATTTTTGTTGCAAGTCTTTATTCTTTCTGAGCTTTTGCTTTCCTGACTTCATCTTTGCATATTCTGGCCTTATTTATGTGCCCTTCTTTCCATTTTTTGTATGTCCTTTTTGTCTTTCAGTTTGTCAGAGAGATCTTTGTGCAGCCATGCTGGTTTCTTCTTGAATTTCTTGTTTTTCTTTTTCAGTGGTATTGTGATGATCTGGGCTTTTATGATCGCATTTTTCAGTGTTTCCCACTCTTTTTGGGTCGTTTTTCCCTTTAAGATTTTCATTCATGTGATTTTTTCCTAGGGTCTCTCTGAGTTTGTTAAAGTCAGTTCTTTTGAAGTTTAAAACACTGCTTGAATTGTTTTCTATTGCTAGTGTTTGCATTATATTAAATTCCAGTATGATGTGGTCACTTTCCCCCAAGGTTCCAGCAATTTCAATTCCCTCTATCACTTCTTCTCTATTAGTAAGGATTAATCCAGTATAGCTTTACGACTAATTCCCTCCTGCACCTTTTGGGTGACAAAGTTGTTGTCTAGGTTGGTTAGGAATCTGTTTGAGCTCCTGCTCACTGCAGAGTTTGTCTCCCATTTGATATCTGGAAAGTTGAAATATCTTATTACTATGTGGTATATTTCCTACATTTGTTAACTGGTTGGCAAAGAGTTTATCTATTTCTTCTGAGTGATTGGGTGGCCTGTAATATACAAAAACCTGAACTAGCTGAGTACAGAGAAGCCCAATAAATATTTTTGAAAGCTAGTTCAGGTTTTGGGTCCTTAAATAAAAGTGGTCGGGACCCTTTAATGTTATGTTATTTCAAGCCATGGCCCTCAGCAATCCTTTCTAGTGCAGGGGTAGCCCAGATCAACTTTCATTGTGTTCATATTCTGTCTTTCAAATGCTCCTTCATCAAACCCTTAAAGCATAAAGGTGATCAAGCTTTATTTGTCCAATGTTTATTAAGTCCCTTCTTCATATAGTTGCAGAAAGTGGCTAGACACACAACGTTAACATTTCCTGAACTGAAAAGGGACAGCCTTCTGACTTTGTGTACTTGGAAGGCATAGAAACTTTAACTCTGGCAGCTGAAGGACAGAAGACAATTTATCAGCTTGCATTAATTTACCAGCTTGCATTATAATGAATTGTTTGCATTGATTTTTTATGGACAATTTAATTTTACATATTTTAAGTCTCTTAGTGTCATATTAGCAAGTTGTACACACTGGGTGATATGTAAGCCCAGTGAATCTCTCTCAGCCCTATCTGCTGTTGGGATGGGGGTTGGGGGAGGAGAGTACCCCATTTAAGCACACAAATTTGGAGAAAGTCACTTTGAATTACTGTATCACAATCCATTCAAAATTGTATATTCATTTATCCTTAATTGTTCCATCCCTACTCATCTCTCTTTCACTTTATTTTTGATGTGGTCTTTTACTTTTTATATTATATGTGTGAAGTCAATGTCTCCTTGTTAATATTATACACAGAGAAATACTTCCTTAATTATCAAGCAATGTTGGCATTAATAATTGCCATTTCAGACCAAGTCTTGCATTCCAACTGGTTTATTAGAAGATCAATAAGGGATGAAATATATAAAAAAACAAGAGACGAATCAATAATGTATAAGGGTAAAGAAATAAT